GTCATATAATGAGGGGACATCTGAGACCCTACGTAGGATTCCTAATAAAGCAGGAATTAGAGTGGCATTTAAACCTACAAACTCATTCAGGGACAAGCTCTGTAGGTTAAAGGACCCAGTTGACCCAATTAGACAAAATAATATAGTTTACAAAATACCCTGCAATGACTGTGAGTGAGGTCAACTACATAGGTCAAACTAGTAGGTCAGGGGTAGTCAGATTGTCGGAACATAATAATTTAGCTAAGGCAATAGTTGAATATTTGACCCCGAGAAGATAAGTAATTTCGAAAAAAACTCAGCGATTGCACTGCACGCATTAACACACAGCCACACAATAAGGTGGGAGAGGGTTAAAATTCTAAGAAGTAATATAGGTAGGTGGAGAGAGAGAGAGGTTGATTACTGAATCCTTGTTCATCGAGTGAACACCGATCACGTGCAATAGGAATGACTCATCATACATATCGGAAATATGGAAAATACCACTACGAATCAAGTGAAGCGATGACAAATAATGGAATTATATGAAAGAGGTTAGAAAGTTGTGTGTGCAGTTTGATCTGATTATGATGGGCGATAAATTGTGCTCGAAACGTCATCAGTAAATATTACTGTATAACACTGTGAAACTTTATCAAAATGAATTTTATCCCAATTGGAATTACCGAGGTTATTAGTGACTAAACAGATAGCATTCTGTACTCCTTAGTGACGTTTCAAATTATTTTTTGATGTCCTGCGAAATCTCAGCTGTAAGTCCTCCTTCATTCCCGATATTTTTCGAGTGCTTTTATGGATTCGATTCGTGACAGTAAATTGGACTGGAATAAGGAGTAGTTTCAATTACACAGTTAGGACTTATATTTAAGAAAACATTCTGTGATCTGAGACTACATAGGACTTTAATTATTGTCAAGTTAAGTTCATACATCTTTAAATGTAATTTCATCAGAATAATTAATAGGACACTGGTAAACATATTATTTAAGTTTTGGATTTGTTTAGATTTTATGGGTGATTCGATTACAAACTGACACAGTCCAGAAAGCCAGTGAAGATCTATGAGCACCACATAACTCTTTCGTTCTTACTGGGAAATCGTCATCAGTGTATAATCACCGCGGTTTCAGAGTAGACATGTTTTCGTACAGCTACTGGGTTGGAACTTATTATTTATTATTGTATTCTTCTATTCATAGAGGAACATAGGGCTTCAGCCGTGCATCTCCATTGCGTTCGGTTCTCTGCTAGAGTCTTCACCTGGCTCCATGTCTGCCCACACGTTTTCATCTCCTCTTCACATGACCTCCTCCAAGTCACCCTTCCACTGACGACCAACTCGCCGCTTCCCTTTCAGTCGGGTTCCACTCGAGCAATGTCTTGTCTAGTGATGTCACTTGATGGTTTCCTCAGAGTGTGGCCAGCCAATCCATCTCCATTTCTTCCTGCCTATTTGTTGCACAATCGGTTCCTGCTGGGATGGTTCGCTCATTGCCAGAGATCTCTGTTGCTGATCTTTTCTGGCCGGCCATCTGATCTTGAGTATTGAGTGAAGACAACTGTTAATGAAGGTCTGTAGTTTGTTTGAGATGCTCTTTATGACGCGCAGTGCAAGTCTCTGATCCGTATAGTAGCACTGACTTCACATTGGAGTTGAAAATCCGGATCACGTTGGAACTTAATGGATTTTAACTTCCATCGATTGAAAATATAGTACGAGTGACATTCAGTACGATCGAGAAGTTACTGAATCCATCTCAGAGTGATTAAGTGAACCTCACGGGTCATGAGTTCTCAATGTGTTTCGATGGGATGATCAGTCTCAAGGTAAACTTGAAATCATTAAGAAGTTAGTAACTTCGTTTTTTTTCCTTCCTTGCATTCCATGTGGAACACAAGAACTGAAGCTTCTGAAGTTTCAGTAGCATTGTCGTTTCTAATGGGTGGGGTCACTAGCTTTTGTTAGACGGAAGTTATTAAAATATGCCTAAAATAAGTAGACATTTGGAATAGTGGTATCATTCCAATTTTAACCTTTGAATGAAAGTTGTTTCTCTACGCTGGATGACTTGACTGCGAACCTTTTATTGTCCTTCTGGACAACATTTTCATCATTAACTTCAATTTGATATGAGATTTCGGCGTTTTTTGACTTCGTATCCAAGGTCACAAGCTAGCCGTCAACAGACATAACAATTATTCCTTCATACCACTATATGAGGATAACTAAGGAGACGAATTTAACTTGGGAGATGTCGATTTTTTTAAAAAGAGGGAATATTAAAATTGCATGAGAATTTCTAGAATCCTGGTACTCTGATCAATCTGTACCTAAAAGTCATGTTAACACAGAGCAAATCTGTCCAACAATAAGGTAAAAGTTAAATGGAAAAAAAAGTCAAATACCAGGTCAACAAAATGACCCATACCAATATAAATGAACACAAGGATAAAAAAACCTCTGAAAATGACCAATCACATTTGAGGTTATCGAGAGAGTTGATTATTTTACCCATAGACAATTCCAAAATCTCACTCCATACTGAAGTTATTCCTGAAGATATTATCTAGAAGGACAGTGGAAGTTCTGCAGTTAAACCATCCAGCTTAGAGAATACAACACCACTAAAAGAATCCACCTGAGCTACAAATCCTCTCTGTTATTTCAGGAAACATTATCATCCAGAGTAAACGGAAAGTAAAGTAAATTTTAGTAAAGAATGCAAACTCAAGAGTTCCTTATGTCGTGGTTCCATTAATATCAAAGTAGGTTTCATCAAAAACCGATATCAAATAGTGAATCTCTGCTTATTGTATATTAAGGGTAATATGAATCTTCCAAGTCCTGTTGAGAAACGATAATTGATAATTCTATACACTACAAAAGATGTGGCTTATTTGCTTGAGCAGTCAATTTCCAGGCAGCGGATCCCAGGTTCGAATCATTCGTCACCTACACTTCAGCTTGGACAAATATGTAGTCTCATGAGCTCACTCAAAATTTGGGAGGCTAGTAACCTCTCATACACTATCACTTCGGGACTGATTAAGAATCATCTTTACCGAAGGGAAATAAAAATGTATAGTAGACAAATATCACACCACCATACTTTCATTTAATATACACTGAATGTATAAACTTAAATATGCAAGTATATCTTGTTGTCTCTACCCTGTTCTTTCACTTTTTATAGTGCCAATGAAAATTATGTTTACTGCACTCTGATTCTTAGAGATGCAGACCTGTTATCATTGGTATCAATACTTATTTTGGTCTAAAGTAGCACCCCAGAATTAAGATGTAACTGATTTCTAAAATCTAAATTAAATAACAGTTATAGGAATCACTTTATGTGAATTGATTGAAGGCAGTTGGCTGGATGCCTTGAACTTAACCAAGTCACGTGATTATTGAACTTTTCAGCTAGACATTTCTGTAACCACCATCCAGTAGCTTTGAATGGAATACATTAGTAGCTATGACAGTTACAAATAAACCTTTCTGATAAGAGCTGATAATCGTAAAGCTCAAGTTCAAGATTTTCTTACCGAATCTCTTAAATCATCAAACTCCGACGAGTTAATTACTCGTCATGCTTCATAAAAAGATTGTAAACTCCATTCACAAAATTTAATCAATACTTCAAAACAGATTGCATGACACTGTTCACCAGTTTATTGATAATTTTATATAGATGACTTATTATATATAATATATAAAGGGTAACCCTTCAGGTGATCAGAAGACGTGTATAATGATTTAGTTCATTGAAAATAATTACTTCTGTAGTTGAGATTAAATCTTTTTTTTTTCTTCTATTGATTTCTTCACTAACTTTCATTGATATTTAACAATATTTGGATTCTAGAAATGAGATACTAGAGTGTCATTCACTTATAGTTCAATTAATTAAAATAACTAGTTCTGCATTTATCTTCTTTTTTTTAAAAAAAGAAGAAAGTAGTTTCATTTTAAGTGAAAATCTTATTTAACTGACAGCTAATGTCCATGAAATCAACTTTTATTAAAAATTAGAATAGTTCTACAACACCGGTGATTGAATAATTCAATCAATATTTTACAGCTTATACAGGATAATTTACACCACAGGCCTATTGATTAAATCAATCCACATTGTTACTTTGACGTACAGCATCACAAGTATATTGTATAACAATATAACAATTTAATAAAGTTAGCAAACCATTGAAAACCAAGGAGTACTGGAGAGATGTTTCGTCCTAGATCATGACTCCTCAGAAGTACTCATCGATGACCCCACCGGGGATCAGTTCCAGGACTTTCAAGTCACAAGGCAAACCCGTTGATCATTCGGCTATTGGTCCCTTAAACTAAAACAAAACAGTCCCACCCGAGTACTCCCTGGTTTTCAGTTAGTGATACGAATTGAATTAAATTAAATTCCACCTTAAAAACAAAACCCACTTCAAAACTTAATAAAGTAAAAAAAAAATTGAGAAACAGGTAAATAATATTTACTTCACAGCCAAAAAAATGGCCTGATTTAAAGTAAGCTGGATGAAAGTGGTAAGTTTGAATCAGTGGAGTCAATTGCTTTTATTTTCACAATTACTTCAATGAAAAGTTCTACACTCTCATATCTAATCGTCAATTCACAAAAACTTCAGTCAGCAGACAATACATTTAAACTGAACTAGAGACAATTTAAGTTAACCTTTGGTTAACACAGTGTTTTCTTAAAAACTTCCAAAGTTTAATTACCAACTACGCCAACTATCAATACAATCACAGTTGACATAAACAATGACGAACTGAAAACATTCATATTTGATTGAATAAAAGTACGAATAGGTAAATGATAAAGTTGATTGATAATTTAGAGCTTATTAAACTTTGTACGAGTTACAGTTAACCTTCAATTACATTAAATAAGCATACTAAATGTAGCCTGCATTAAAATAAGAACAACAACAACAGCAGTAGCAACAAACGATAAAAAGAACAACTCACTTACCGGGTATACATCAGTGAAACACTTTGTTTCTATTCCATTTACATCTTTTTCTAATGATAATGAATTAGTATCACAACTTATTGTCACATGATGCTGCATACAGGACACAAAATGTCGTTCATCTAAGTCCATATTTTTAATATGATCGATAATGAATGGTTGATTATGAAAATGTTTTTCACCATTGGCATATTCACTTTGTTCCTCTTTAGCATTTTTCTTTGCCTGTTCTATAAAAGCTCCATTCTTATATACTGGTCGACCATTCTGTGTTTTAATGTATGTATATTGACTGAATTTTCGACTGTCTGCACTTCGACATCGATAATTTAATGAATCAAGCGAACAGACAGAATCTATTCCCATAGAATGCATGTAGGATTGTTTTGTAGTGTTGTTATAAGGTTGTTTAATTATAGTTAATCGAGTCCCAAATCCAAAAAGACTCGAAATTGTAAAAAAATTGTCGTCTTTCTTAGTGTTGGTGTTATTGTTGTTAAATGTTTCAGTATGGTTTGATTGTTTATAATGCGTGAAATTAGCACGTTTTATTATTGTGAATAATTCACGTATACTAGTGTTTAAATGGTTTATATTCTTGTCAATTCCACCCAATCGTATAGATTCCAAGTGTTGCGTAGGTGGTGTATTGTTTAAATCCTTTATTTCTGATGGTAATAAAAATACTGTGACATTATGAAGATGATCTAAGTCTATAGGTATAAGAAAACACCAGTTGTAAGTTTGAGAGCCTGGAGCAGTATCATCCTTAGTCTCAGGTGAATATGAATGACCTGATGCCCAACCAATAAGACGTAAACAAGGACCCAATTGTATTGGTTCATTTGATAATATTCGAGTAACTCTATACGCGTTATTATCTTCCAATGGGATGTATATGTGAAGTTCACGTTGTAAGTCACTCCATAAAACTTTCCAGTGTCCACCATTCTTAGGCGCATAACTGTCAATACAAATGACTTGATTGTGACTTTGTGGAGTAACTGTGATACCTGAAATATTTATTGATTCATTATAACGAAGTATTATTAGTCTAGCCAAAAATCTTTCGGTGTAATGTTTTCTTTCACAACACAGTCCACTGTTATCAGACAATGCGTATTCAGGAACTTTAAGCCAATAATAATGTTTAAATTTTTCAGGAGAATTTATCAGGTAGGAATCGTACCACCAGAAAGAACCGGGAATATTTGAGACTACCGTATTTAAAATGGATTCTACATTGAAATGACTAATCCAATCCTTTTTATATTCATAGGTATCTAGAATTCTTTCCATTTCTTCACTGTTCGGTTAACTGATGATGAATGCCATATTATAAATTGTAACTGTGATAGCGTATAGTGTAGTCTGATTACTGTAACTAGTCCTTCTTATCTTTCACATGTTCACAGAATACAGGGAATTCAATGTTTACATAGATTGGTAAAAAAAATTCACTCTTATTTTTGTTTTATAATCATGTGATCAATCGGACGTTTGGACATTGGTGAACCAAATTTAGCCAATTGGCTTTTGACCAATCACATTTGGACACGATCGACCAGACAATGGGCTGAAATAAACACGTACAACCAATTATAGGCGTTCATTACCGATTAATGTGTATATTTTTTTCAGACACTAGAATTCGTTCACAGTTGCCTCTGTCACAGACTGACTGATTTCCCTTGTTGGGAAAAAAAAATTGTATTGGATGAAATTTCCAGGCTATTGGCAATCTTTAATTTTGTTAAGACGTGAATTTTTCTTGTCGATTTTTAAACATTCAGTAATCATCGCCATATAGTTTCCTATATTGTAGTTTATGACTAAATTTTGTTTTTTGATGAAGATGCTATTATTACATACTGTGAGTAATATAAACACCCACTTCAGCATTCCTAAATAATTTCATGTACTATTCATTCCCCTATTTTTCTTCAGGTTTCGGCTGGATCTCAACAGCAGTATTAAAATTTATCTTGAAAGTGACTGTTATAACCAAAGTCCCAGTATTTCGGTGTGAACATAAGGGACCAGTCGATACGTTCATCTGTATAGCCTGTAAACTTTCTCCAAGTCACGCACAGTAAGAATTTATATTCCAGCTATATGAAAACACTGTTTGGCGAAATAGAATCTATGGTATTCAGCAATGCCAAGGAGAATCATTAGAAATAGGAGCCAACTAATGAAGATTATGTCGAAAGAAGATATACGAATATTGGAATAATGATATGCGGGTCAGTGTAAAAGAGTAGTAATTGCCAAATTACTTGAAATATTCAGATAAGGATCAGTAGTGTATATAGATTGCTCATAGAAGGATTTCCAGATAAATTATTCTCCTGCAAATACACTTCCCAAGCATATTTATCTTGGAATGTGACTGCACTTTGTGGTAGTGAATTTGACTCTGTTATTTCCTTAAACCAGAGTGATAAAATGTCTTGACACAAAATTTATACTTTACATTACCGATTGTTAACTTGATGAAGTACATTTTAGTCTTCTCTAATGCATTAGAAATAAGTATCAGAGAGGAATAAGTATTCAGTATCTAATTCTGTTGAATACAATTTGAAGTGGCTGGTCTAGGTACTTCATCTTTCAGTCAAGGTAGCACCATCGGTCTTGTAGAGAATAATACGTGTAGTTTACCAGCATTAGAAGTTCTTTGAACTGATTTTCTTAATTTCTTCGTAATTAACTCGCTTGGTATATCGCCCATGAATTGTAGTCGTATATAAAGTGGCTTCTTGTTTACAGATAGTGGGTAGTCCTTTTCGGCTTTCTTTGTCATATGTTTCTTGATAAATTTGTCAGGATAACCATTTTCGATTAAAGTATCATATACCATGCTTAATTCGTCTTTAATTATTTCTTCAGAGCATATAGCTCTAACTCTGTGTCTAAGGGTCTTCACTAAATTCCTTTTGTAATTGATGGGAGCGAAGCTGTGAAAGTGTGTATATTGTCCCGTCCAAGTACTTTTTCTATGCAAATTTCTTTTTATGCTACCGTCTGGTTTTCTCGTAAGTAGGACATCTAAGAAGGCAATTCTGTCTTGGGATTCCTCTTCGCATGTGAATTTCATAGCCGAATGTACTTCATTGAATTCAGTAATTATTGTACTCCTATCGGAACCATTATCACAAAGAATAAAGGTATCATCCGTATACCGGCAATAAAGTGGGAGCTTACTGATAAGGTTGTTCATAGGTCCATTTTCTAGCTTACTTAGAAAGAAATCAGCCAGAATGGGACCCAATGGGGAGCACATTGCCACCCCGTCCACTTACCTGTAAAGCGTGCCGTCAAATTTGAAGTTTACATTCATGGTACATCTTAATATCAATTCTTTTAGGATTTCAATATGGATTCCAATGTTTATCGACTGCTTGTCCACTTGTTTACATATATAATAATTATAATGCTGGCAAACTACACGTATTATTCTCTACACGACCGATGGTGCTACCTCGACTGAAAGATGAAGTACCTAGACTGGCCACTTCAAATTGTATCTACCAATTCAACTGCGCTTGTGGAGCTAGTTATGTTGGCCGTAACTATAGGAGCTTGATTTTTCGTGCTCGAGAACATATCCCACTATGGCTAAGTAAAGGTGTAGTTAAAACTGTTAACAGCTCGATATTAGACCATCTGGTGCAAACCGGTCACAAAGCCAGCCTAGAAGAATCCTTCTCTATAATATACCTGGTGCCTAACAAACTACCAAAATCGTCGAAGCACGGCATGCTCCAAACAGCAGAGGCTATTGCAATTCACCTCAAACAACCAGTGCTCTGTGTTCAAAAGAAGCAAGTCCAGCCCCTACTACTGCCCTGGCCCTCAGTAGAGACTTTAAACTCATGAATTTGTACTATTACCTTACCTAATTCTTCTGACATTCAGTTTATTTTATGTTGATGCTGTTCAGCTGCAATTTATCAATATTATTCATTTGATGTTATTTAAACATAAATGTCGTTCATTAGACTAATTCATTCATTCATTATAATGTATATATAATTGTAGAACCTGATGATGAATTTATCGAAAAGAGTACTCTTTGTTTCGTGTCTATTCTTTTGAAAATTCTGTTGAAATCTATTTAAAGGTTGTTAAACTTGTAGTACTATCTTGGTTACTGGTAATGAAACCCAGGAGGCTTTTTCCCCATCCAATTGGCACTCATCCGTTGGATATGCTTACATTCCCAGTAAGACATGGTATTCTTTTTGAAGTATAAGCCCAAACTGAGCATTTTACTCCCATCTAATCAATTGACGGAGTATATGAAATAACACTATCTGTTCATATGATAGATTCCAATACTAATCTGACAAAAGGAATATGTCATACTGCACTCTTTAGTAATAAAGTTCAGCACTCCCCTCAATTTGCTTCTAAATGCATGAAATATGCCCAGCGATAGTCATATCACGACAACACTTGATTTCTACATTGAGCAATACTAGAAACTGGTGTTTAATCAATGAATTGTGTTCAGTTAAAAAGAGACAAATCAAAGCAGAAGGAGACTGACTGACTAGATTTCGACATAGAACGTTGCACAGAAGTGCACAGGTTTAATTTGCCACACTCAGTGCAGCCCACAACGTGAGACAAAAGACAGAGAAAAAGGGATTCAGGAGAAATAAAACAAACAGATTTGTGTGGCGGAAAGAATAGTCACATGGAAAAAGCATGACGGTCTAGTGGACATTGAGAACCACGAGGAGTGAGTTGGTTTACTCCAGTAGTATTTATATTTACCGAAATTGTATAGTATCCTATTATTGAATAATAGGGGGTGACATAATTGATATAATTACCCAGAAGTGACTTTAGAAGTGAAAATTAAAAATTGTAAATTACGTGGTACTCAACGGCACAAATTTAGAAATTTTATGAGATTAAAATTGCTATTGAATGAGAATAAAGGTAGTTGAGTATCAATTTAACAAGTATGAAGAGGGTGTGAAAATGTACAAAAGGAACATATGAGTGTGATAGTAGTGAATTAATTATTAAGGTAAGAGCAACTTTTAGTTTGCCTCTGAAGATGATTTCGTCGACAAAGAAAATTTTCTTCGCTGAATTTGTTTTTTATTTTCTTCATGACTCAATGGGTATTTTCGGTGATTATCTGCTCCAGGAAGAACAAGTTTTAGCCATATCACCAACAGGCTCAAGTCATTGATTCTTAGAATCCCGAGGATCCCAACTAGGCAGGCTTTATATCCCTAAGTGGTTTAAACCAACAGTAAAAGACTTCATAAAATGATTGAAGATTTTGGTCTAACCACCGTTAACTTTATGCCAACCTAATCGTATGTCAGCTGACATGACTTGATAGGGAAGGCGATGGGTTGGCATGTCTAACAAGTGTCCTAGCCATTTCAGTTGATTCACCTGCTCAATCCATTCAGATAAGTGTTAGACTCTAGACGAACTGAGGGTGGCTGTAGGCCAGTTAAATTGCTGCTCAGAATGCTCCCTCCAACTTACCAGTCTTCCATCCTGAGATATAATTGAGGCACTGCCTCTGTCGTAGGTGGTTTCATTTATCATTGGCTTTTTGCAACTTGTTTATCTAATAAGCCTAAATAATTGTCTAGTGTTTTCTATCGCCATCTGTCGCTTTTGTCGCCCATCACCATTCGCATTCATTGTGAAGGCTTTTGGTCGGCTTGCATTTGGGCAGCTTCCGCTTGTTTAGAGACCACAGGAATCTACTTCCCTGAGTAAGTCAGTTCGGATGAAGCAGCAGAAATTCATTAACATTTTCAAACCCCTGGTTTTTTGTTGTCGACAGCCTTTATCACTGTTTCTACTGCTGACTGGATATTATGGCACACTATCTCATAATGTGTGTTGCTGTCAGTCTCGGAAATTCGTTTAACTACTTCTCCCTTGAATAGGGGCATAACTACTTCATCGTTGCCTGGTTTCTACATCTGTTCAATCGTAGACATATTCATGCACGAACTAGGGCGTGATCAGAGCTATGCAGAATGAGAAGGAGAAAGCTAATCAAGTAGGCTTGGTTATAATTACGCAAAGCAACTCTAAAATATTACGCTATATCTCCGCCTTGAAATTTAAATTTTAAAAATAAATTGTAGAAACAATAATACTATTTTTCAAAACTGCTAGTAGTATAACTTATTGGCATTAAAATAAGCAAAACATCACTGATTGTCTCTGTTATTTTGTTATTTAGTGATCGACTTGATTCAGATGAGAAACAAGAACTTTCTATCGATTTGATATACCCAGTAAAATCTCTTATACAAAACTTCTTACGTGCCAGATGTTTTTTTGAAACCAAGATGTCATCACTTAAATATTTGTGAACGGAAAATTAAATTAAATTAGGCGTAATCAAAAATGTTACACTATAAAGATGCAATGGTTTAC